GAAGGAAGGAAAGAAAGACCACAGTGGTGTGTTGGACTTGCAGAGGGAGAGAACATACTTAGGGATACAAAGTGGAGTGGGGGAAAAGGGGAGGGGGAGGGAAGTTGGGGATAACTGGGTGGGGGACATGGGGTACAATTGTAGTTTGTGGTAATGGGCATGCTGCCAGTATGGATCTGGCCTTCACTTATAAGGCACGAGGAGGGACAATCAGCTGTGTACCTCATGAATATTCATAAGCAAAAAAAAGAATACACTTCTACTGCTTCTAAGCAAATTACACCATGATCAATTCAGATTCAAATTGGTTTTCTATCTATAGGATTAGTTGAACCAAAATTATTAAATAATAAGAATATTTTATTTTTTTGAAAAGTAAAACTTGAAAGAAATGTCAAAATATAACTTGAATTCATTTTCAATATATAGAATGCAATTGATCAAAAAAAGTCTAATGTGAAAAAAAAAATATGCAAACAAAGAACACCACCATAGTAATTTTTGAGAAATATTTCTGAATACATTAATATTTCAGACTGTTAATATATAAAAACTCAGCAATAGGTATGCTGATGGAGCCTGATGCAAAGTAGATACTAAACAGTATTTGTTGACTAAAAGAATATGATGTTTCTTAGAGGTTTGTTCCAAATAGAACTAAGAGAAAGAAAAATCAAATTATGTTTGAAGAAAAAAATAATCTAAAAAATAATAAAAAGAAGTGAATAGGAAATATCAGTGCAGTGGCACCCACAGTGAATCAGAAATAAAACATCAGATGATTTTTGACAGTTGCTCACTGATGGAGTTTGGATGTGTTGTCCCACCAAAACTCACGTGGAAATCTGTCTGATCCCCAATGTGGCAGTGCTGGAAGCTGTTTGGGTCATGGGGGCAGATCCCTCCATGAATGGATTAATCCTCTCTGGGGAGGGTGGTTTAATGAGTGAGTTCTTGCTCTATTCATTCCTGCGAGAGCTGGTTGTTTATAGGACCCTGGCACCTCCTCTTTCTTGCTTCCTCTCGCCATGTGATCTGCTTGTACCCGCTGGCTGCCTGCCGCTTTCCACCATGATTAGAAGCAGCCTGAGGCCCGTGCCAGATGCAGCAGTCCCAGAATCATGAGCCAAATAAACCTCTGTGCTTTATAAATTACCCAGTCTCAGGTATTGTTATAGTAACACAAAACGGACTAAAACACTCGCAGTTTTTTTTTAAGAGTGTTTCCGTATGGCTGGTGCGCTCACTGGCTGAGCACGGTGCAGGCTACACCAAGCCAAGGGTTGCGATCCCCTTACCAGTCACAAAAAAGACAAAAAACAAACAAACAAACAAACAAAAAGTGTTTCCGTAAATCTATATCCAATACACACTACCACCAGTTTAGAGACAGGTGATGACTCTTGATATTGTTCAGAAGAGATGGCCAAATTCTTGATTATTTTAATTATACATTTTCAAAGTTTCAGTCCCTCTGAAAGATTTTTTTGTTGTTCTATGACTTATAGTCAAGAAGTTACTTAAATATTTTAGTTTTTAAAAGAACTCATATAGGTTTCTCAACTGGCTTTAACAACTTTTTATGGGAATTTACTTCCCTGTGTTTCACATAGTTCACATTTCCCATGCTGCAGATTAATTGTACTTTTCATTAATATCCATAGTGGAGAAAGAAAAGAGCTGCATATGCCATTTGCATATTTGCTTGGAGATTATTACATATTAAATTGCCTTTTAGACTTTGGGTCTTCAGCCTATAACACCACTTCTTTTTCTCGGAGGTCTGATTTTCAAAGCTTAATCATCCTCGTGGTAGCCCACTGAACTCTCCAAGTTTTCACATCCTTCTTTAGATGAAGTTCCAGAACAGCTCACTGGGGCCTACTGGAAGTTTGGAGGGCTCAAGGACATTTTTTTTTCTAAGCTAATTAAGTGCTGAATAAGCATTCTAATAGAAAAATGAGAACTATTTAAATTTTAAATGAACTTTAATGGAGCAATGTTGAGCTCTTGGCTACACCCAAATATAGGTTCCCAAATTATCTACTGAGAGATGACTCAGTAACATAGATAAACTGGAAATTTGTCTAAAGAAGGATGAAGATGACACTTGGGAATAACAAACTCATAGTGACCTCATTATTGAGGGAAAGTTCAAATGATGGAAACCAAAGGGAGGTGTAAAAAATAATTAGCATTTTCTCTCTAAGGCTAACTTTAATGTACCTGTATATAAACGGCACCTCATCCATGAAGACGTTTCTGATCCCACAGCCTCTGCTTGGATTCTCATAGCTTAATTCTTCTCTCTGCCATAGTATTTACTACATTGCTTTAGATTTTAGCTTATGACTACTTGTCTTCCTACTTCTATCCACTGTCCTTCACACTGCCATAAGAGTTAAACGACTAAACATGAATAAGAATGTGTTATAGTTTTCCTCAAACACAACATTAACTTTCACACTT